TCTCGTTGTTTGGAGATGTTTATGGCTGTATGAAATGCAGATTTAATTGTCGTATTTCTGTTCATGTATTCGTTTTGAAAGAATTAGTTTTTGTATCTAATGTTCTACGATTTTCAATGAGTTTTATAAGTGATGACTGGAATTGATGATGTACAGAGAAATGGCAGAATTATACTGGTACCTAACCGTTACGAAGTGCGAGAAAGTACGTGCTGATATAGTATCACTAGTTTATAATAAATAGGTCACACGAGCTAGAATAAATGTTTCTTTCTGTTTAGGTAATTTCATATATGTTAGCTTCAAAGCGACAGTCTACATTCTCAGGAATGACGACGTGTTGATGAAATGATGACTGATGAAAGTCAAAAAATTTATTAACAATACCAAATCACACGCAGCGGAATGTATAATTCTTGTTAAAACGACATCACAAAATAATTCGCGAATATCATAATGATAGTCCCTGAGCATTCTGAGCATGCTACACAAAATGAAAGGAAGTGATAAATATTTGGAACGGGAATGGACAATTAATGTCTGTTTTCCCTTTTATCCATTAATGACAAGTAGCATTTGTTTCTGTGGATTGAAGTCTTTATTTTTTCTCCCACCATTTTCCAATGACTCACCTCTTCTACTTTCGCTTGAACAATTTGCATTTCGTTCAATATTCAGATTCCTATTGCTGTTCTTCTTGGATGAGCTACCTCGTTTTATACTTTTCTTATTCGTCAGGATAATAAGCACACATTTGTGCTTTACAGCATTAAAACTACGTACATTAAAACACATTTTCTGCGATCTCTAAAATGGTAGTTTATGTAACAAGACGTAAAGAGGTACTTTTGATTTCGCGCCCTTCCTTCTTAAGAAGAGAAAGTAATGTAATCGTGCGTCGGAAAACGAGGAACTTTTGACAGGAAAACTTTTTCTGCCCGGACCTGGTAACGAAAAAGGTAGTAAAGAGAGAGACAGAGACAGAGAGACAGAGAGACCGAGACAGAGACAGAGACAGAGAGACAGAGACAGAGACAGAGAGAGAAGCTTCGAATATATTGTAAATATATAAAGCTTTGAATTTACCCCAAACGTACCGTTCAATTTGCCATAAGATAAAACGACGTATTCAGGGCGATTCTGGCGTGCACTTAACCTCCCGTAAATGAGTACCGATGATGTAGGGGCTCGTTCAACGAAAAACTGCAGGAGCAAAGGTTGACGGGAATATGGCGCTTGCCACACCATCTCTTTGATCACTGTCTTATGATACGCAATGCCTAGTTAAAGATTATACTGTGTAATTTTATTGAGATTTAATATGCCTGTAACAAGTAATATACTTCAGATTCTGGGGCGAGGACCACAATTTCGATCAGTTTTTTCGTCCGGATTCCTTCATTGATTGAGCAAACTCTGAGATGTTTTACTTTCGGACATAAATGACTATGCGCACCTATTGAGCTCTCCTTTTGCTAGCTCCTTTTGCTAGTCACGTGTGAGGTTTGCTATTTTGTTAGCAATACTAAAAATAAAATCTGTAGTTCGTTTAACGATGCAAGTAAGATTTTATATAACTGGCGAGCGATAGTATAGTTTTCAAACGGGGCTAACCTCGCTTTGATACTTCATTTATTCATAACTTTACTATGTATAGTAAAACGGTGGGGAAGAAATTCTGGAACTTACGAAAACTTGCGCAGACTATACTTCCCCCCGATAAGTAGCACACAATTTGTACTAGTAGTGAACAAAATTAAATAAAATCATGTCTATCTTTTTTTGTGTTATTTAAGATCGCATCAACTTCTAGGTCAATAGCGACCACTATTGCGTGTAACGGTATGGTAACTGTGAGGATGACACGATATGATGATAGGAGTGTGAAAGGACGAACACAATACAACCATGCCCGATGCGGGACTCGAACCCGCGATCCTTTGATCCGAGATCACTACGGTACCACTGCCTTAGCGGTATCGGCCACCCTGACCTGCATGCGTATCTTTCTATATCCGAGGGCAGCTGTGATCTGTTCATAATCAGTAACAAAACGAAATAGATATATACAGGATCGTGGATTTCTTATAGTAAGATAAGTAAAGGAATTATATATATATATATATCCACAAAATCTCCAAACCAAAAAAAGGATCTTAAACAACAAAACAAAAAAGTACCCTTTTTACAATAACAAAGTCAATCGATAATAAAATTTGGCTATTCTCTCTTGAAGAAGAAAAAAAATAACAAATACAATCATGGAGCTCTTTTCTTCGTTTCCTAAAGAGATATTACCAATTAGATGGAAAATCGTAGATAATAAAGGCAAACGCACCGTTCCCCATGAGCTCAGAAAACGTATTCTATCTTGATTTTCTATCTCGTGCATGGATAGAAGCGAGCGCATTTTGTATATCAGACGAGGAAGACTGTCACCAAACGCTGAGTCATAATTGACGCTCCGGTGTGAACGGTCCCGCGGATTTCGTCGCCACGTCTAGAGCGGAACCTTCCGCACCGCACCCGCTGCGGAAGTTCCGTGCCGGTCCGTGGGATGGTCCGTGGCCTTAAACATGGATTAGTAACATTCATTTCCACTATAACCTACGGATATTGAGTGAATAATCATGTTGTTATTTTATCGTTAATGCAGAAATTTTCTTTGGCGACAGCTCATGGACATGAATTATACATGCAACAACAGAGTGAAAAATCTGTCATTTCTTACAATACACGCATTCATCTGAAAGAGCTTAAATTGAAGTATTTTCGAAAATACTGAGGATGCTGTGAAACGTTATATAACTCTTTGCATAGCCGCAAACCTCCTGAGTTTCCACAGCAAAACAACCGCGAGCTTCATAAAGTTTCTTGGCTCACGTGCTTGCTTTCATTGCGCAAGAACCTGGATTTCATTCTAGGGCTGGCCTGCGTAGCGTTTTGCACTTTCGCTGACCTCGAGAGTCGCGCGTGAGCGACTGAGTGCAAATCCAGGAATCTAAGACGGGTGGGGATGAGACCCATTCTACGAGGAGACCAATGAAAATGCGCTATTGGAACCATTGCGCGTCAATTAAATTTGCAATCTGCGAATACATGACGGGCTGTTACGTACAGTATGTATTTCTAATATCAAATCAACGAACAATATGTTTTCATGAACGTTTTCGACTTTGATATGTTTAAAATATATAACCTAAATTTTAGAAGTTTAATGTTGTACATAAAACAGTAATTCAATTTCACAGGTGCAAACTTAAATCTTAATAAATATGTCCTACGTTAGAGTTGAGCGATATCCAGTACACCGCACGTTTTCGTTAAGTATACTCACATAATTTACTTCCTTTTGCAATCATTTGGAGATTATACCTTTCTTGCGAAAAATCAATTATTTAATTGTAAATGACTGGTAGTTAGAATTAAATAATATATTATTTAAAATGTCACGGTTTTAAAACATTGTTTAAGAGTCACACGGAGCATATTGTAAAAAAAAACAAAGAAGGAAAATATGTCGATACGCACATAGCAGTGCAAAGAAGAACATAAACAGTGAATTACGGCCTTAAAACGAAACCCATTCAAATAAGTGAGCAAATAATTTCTCAGCATGGATTATTGCATTAGAAGTTCAGGCATTTAATATATGCGCCGCGCCGTTCCCAGTGTCCAATAGCAAGCTGCTGTCTTAACCACGAAGCTGCCTGCCGCCTTCTTTTAGCACTCGCACCGCTATGGCGGGCAGACCTCTGGCCCTTGAGTGCAGAATGCCCGCGGGAGGCGTTGTGCAGGCTTGGTCTAGGGGAAGGGCAATTTGTAAAGTATCTTCCGCCAAAAATGTTTGTCTCAGACAATACAGAAGTTGTCAAACGTATGAAAATTAGGGGAGATGCAGGGTATTCACTATCCTACTGCGAAGGACATTATTCGTAAAACAGGTGGTGCGTTGGCATCCATCGTACATTTACATTACATTTTCATTGCATGTACATTTACATTAGTAAAGAACACTTTCCTCCCAAAGTCATACTATTTTTTTGTTGTGGCTGATAAGTCAAAAAAACATGTAATGAATGCCAGAAAAATAAGATAAATTATGTGTAGATCAAAAACGATATAAATCTGTAAGTGAGGTCAGAAGTGGAGAGTCCAAGGCAATGGCAAGAGAAAATCTCAGCATTTGTTCAATAGATAAATATAAACTGGAGAAATACCCCTCTCAAGATGAGGGTTATGGGGAACATGTACGAATGCCAACATACAAGTTTCCAAGGGCTGCGTTCGTATAAAAGGCCCATTAAAAATATATTTTGTTATAATTGTGCGATTGTTGTGTTTACTGAAATTGAATAAGAGTAGTCCAATAAAACTTCAATTCATAATATTTGTTATGGCCAACCGTCATAGTTTTCCAACGTATATTTTGTGTATCAGAAAAGTGTAATTTATTCCCCTTCCTACCCGGTTCCTACGGAGGCATGCTTATTTGAAAATTGTAATTTTCATTGGTCTTGAGCGTCAAAGGCACTACTTGCTGTTTATTGAGAAAATATAGTACAATTAAATATTATCCGGGATACTGCAAAGGTACATTGTAATTAGCATTCACTCTACTGTCAAGGCGTTTGATTTGACATTGTTACATGACCAAAACTGCTTGAAAATCTTTAATAATTTGTATTTTCTGAACAAATAACATAGTAATACCTTTGAGAACTCCAATCTTCATGTTTTGTTTACTCTTCCACGTGTATCGTCTGTTCCGAAGCCATCCTGCAAACATCGTAATCTCCATTGTCTACACTCCATACGTCTCCATAAATTGTTTTTCAACTGCTTTTCACGTAAAATAAAAACAGTACCTAATCCTCATCAGCCAAATATATGTGTAGGTGGATGGGCGATTGTCATTTTAATAATGAAGGACAAATGATGGAAAAGAGGGAGGAGAATAGGGGAAACCCCAGAAAACCGTTTTGCCCTCTACAACTTACCCATAAACCTCCTCCTAGATTGTACCCCGGCATCAGGAGGTCGAAGGTGAGCAGATTGACCACTGCAACACAGGCCGCCCTCTGCTGGCTACGTAGTCGATCGGACATCTTTTCACCCAGATGCCCACTGCGCATGCGTACCTTGCGTTTGGTTTGCGACTGCGCTTCGACCACCACCGCCCCTCCATCCCCCCTCCATCGTCCGGTTCACGGCGCTCACCCTCCAGCCACCGCAGTGCTCACACGACCGAGTCGTGATTCTCTAAGGTCAAAATTATTCAGCGCTACCTTAAAAGGTTGCGGAGTGGCAATTTTCAGATGAGCATTGAAAAATGAAATGAACCAGTGAACAATCCGATCTGATGTAACGCAGCCAGCGGTTTTTTAACTGCTATTTGGATGAATAATATTCACAAATGAGGGCTCTGATTGTAACGACAGAACGGCACTGTAAGTGAAAATAGATATATAACAAAAAAATACATTTTACAGAAGAGAAACGAAATTGTTTATTCTTCCATTCTTTCACTGTACCTTCTATCATTTCAGCTACAGACCACTAACCTAATTTTTACTAATTAAAAAACATTAAATTTTGATATACGACCATTTGCGCTGTCACTTAACCTTTGATTATTGCGTTTGTAAGCAGGTACTCATAAATTTGTTAAGTATGTCCCTAGCAGAGACACATTAATAATTTTCAAGCAATGGACATCAAACTCTCTACGGGGCACAATCTGGAGCACACACACGTCAATTCACACTCCAACGTACTCGTCTAAAATACAAACTACGTTTTTTTTTGTTAAATTGGGTTAAGTAACTTATTTATTGAAAAATAATACATCCTGTCATCCACCATGTTGCTCAATGGGCAGTTGGAGATTGTGTATTGCAAATATTGAAAACAAAAAATGAACCAATGCTTTGAAATAATGGCAAATGCAGCGTTTGCAACCATTTACATCCAAACCCCATAGTATTACAATTCTGAAGGGCACATATTCGAAAATTAAGATGATTCTGAGTGTATTATTTGATAACAATTTGAAAACATTTGTTTGATACATTGCACTTCTTTCAATAATTTTCTTTTGTCCTTTTTAGTTACTCTGTGCACAATTATTTTGTAAAAAACATTAAAGCGCGCTAATCTATCGCCTGGATTTTTTATGCCACCTCGAAATGGCAAAGGACTCGCAGAGCAGTGATATTCCCAAGGTTACTGAGCCTGTAGCTGACATCATTAGGTGAAGTCACTTAGGTAGGATATCCATAAATTCCATGTCTCCAAGGGCTGCAGGTTCGAATCCCGCAGCAGGCAGGAATGTCTGTGGATGTATTTGTCTATGTGTAATATTCCATTAATGTGGACGTGGTGATGAAATAAAAGTTTCAGATTTTTCTTAATTGAATCGCAATTCCTCCATGACTTTTATTTCTTAGATCCTCTTTGTACTACATTCCATTTTGTGTTTTAGGGTCGTAACTGATTTTTCTTATGTTCTAAATACATATTTAAATAAATGCCTAAATAAATACCTACACAAATGATACATAAATACCTATACAATTTGATATATAAATACCAAGCAATTTGATATATAAATACCTACGCAATTTGTTAAATAAATGCCCATATAATTTGATAAATAAAATGAACATAAACATAAAAACTCACTGGTCGACCACACCAAGAGCACTACTGTTTTCTCAGCGTTTCGCCAAGTCCCAGCCCACGCGCCGACGCCGCCGACGCAGCAAATGGCGGGGTAGGGCGGGGTGAAGGTGG